GTCGGCGAGCACGATGGAGACGTTGAGGGGGGCGGCGGCGTTACCGGAGCTGCGGTCCAGGGTGCGCTGGGCCAGGCGCAGCGGGAGGCGCTCGGGGCCCACCAGGCAGGTGAAAAACGGCCCTTTTGGGGTGAAAAATGGGGGGTTTGGGGAGCAGAAAAAATTGGTCATTTTGGGGGTGAAAAGTGGGGACTTTTGGGGGCGAAAAGTGGTCGTTTTTGGGGTAAAAAATGGCGATTTTGGGGGACGAGAAATGGTCGTTTTGGGGTCGAAATTGATCGTTTTGGAGGTGAAAAATGGTCAATTTTGGGAACAAAAAATGGTCGGTTTTGGGATAAAAAAATGGCGATTTTTGGGGGACAAAAAATGGTCGTTTTGGGGTCGAAACTGATCCTTTCGGGGGCGAAAAATGGTCGATTTTGGGAGCGAAAAATGGTCGATTTGGGATAAAAAAATGGCGATTTTTGGGGGTGAAAAATGGTCGTTTTGGGGTCGAAACTGATCGTTTTGGGGGCGAAAAATGGTCATTTGGGGCAACAAAAAATGGCGATTTTGGGGGTGAAAAATGGTCATTTTGGGGTCGAAACTGATCGTTTTGGAGGCAAAAAATGGTCATTTTGGGGAAAGAAAAACGGCGATTTTGGGGTCGAAAAATGGTCATTTTGGGGTCGAAACTGATCGTTTCGGAGGCAAAAAATGGTCATTTTGGGGAAAGAAAAAAATGGCGATTTTGGGGGTGAAAAATGGTCATTTTGGGGTCGAAACTGATCGTTTTGGAGGCAAAAAATGGTCATTTTGGGGAAAACAAAAAATGGCGATTTTGGGGACGAAAAAGGGTCATTTGGGGGATGAAAATGGTGGTTTTGGGGAAACAAAAAACGGCAATTTTGGGGTAGAAAGATGATAATTTGGGGGTAAAATTGGTCGTTTTGGGAGCAAAAAATGGTCGATTTTGGGGTCGAAACTGATCGTTTTGGGGGCGAAAAATGGTCATTGGGGGGGACGAAAAATGGTGATTTTGGGGTCGAAAAATGGTCATTTTGGGGACAAAAAACAGTCGTTTTGGGAAAACAAAAAATGGCGATTTTGGGGGTGAAAAATAGTCATTTTGGGGATGAAAAATGGTCGTTTTGGGGGAACGAAAAACAACGATTTTGGGGTAGAAAGACGATCATTTTGGGGGTGAAAAAGAGTCGTTTTGGGGAAACAAAAATGTTCATTTTGGGGTGAGAAACTGATCGTTTTGGAGGCGAAAAACGGTCATTTGGGGGGGACAAAAAATGGTGATTTTGGGGAACAAAAAATTGTCATTTTGGGATCGAAACTGATCATTTGGGGGGCAAAAAACAGTCGTTTTTCGGAATGGAAAAAATGGCTGTTTTGGGGTAGAAACACGATAATTTTGGGGGTAAAACGGGTCAAACGGTCATAAAAAATTCGGGATTTTTTCGCAAACAGTTTATTTTTCGAAAAAAAGTGCAATTTTGGGCAGAAACCAGATAAAAGAATGGGGTTTTTTTTAATAGCAGGCGCCGGCGGCGTCGGCGAGCACGATGGAGACGTTGAGGGGGGCGGCGGCGTTACCGGAGCTGCGGTCCAGGGTGCGCTGGGCCAGGCGCAGCGGGAGGCGCTCGTGGCCCACCAGGCAGGTGAAGGCGACGCCGCGGTGCCAGTCGTGGGCGGGCACGGTGAGGGCGCTGAGGAGGCTGAAGGCGGCGCGGCCCGGGCGGGGCTCGGGGCGGGGCGGGAAGGTGAGGGCGGCGCCCGGGGGGAGGGGCTCGCCGTCGCGGAGCCAGCGCAGCAGCAGGTCGGGGGGGTTGAAGGAGAGGGCGAGGCAGGTGAGGGTGGCCGAGCGCTGCAGCCTCAGCTGGTCGGGGGGCGGAGGAAGAAGGTACAGGGTCGGGGGGCTGGCGTCGGGAACTGGTGGGTTTTGGGGTGAAAAATTGGAAAAAAAAATAAAAAACAATTAAAAAATATTAAAATAATAAAAATAAATATTAAAATAATCAAAATAATAAATAAATAATTAATATATTAATTAGTATATTAATAAATTATATATCTTATAATAATATAATATATTAATATATTAATATAATATAATATATTAATATATCAATATATCAATATATTAATATATTAAATTACATATTATTATATTAATATAATATATTAATATATCAATATATTAATATATTAAATTACATATTATTATATTAATATAATATATTAATATATCAATATATTAATATATTAAATTACATATTATTATATTAATATAATATATTAATATATCAATATATTAAAATATTAATTAATATATTAATATATTATTATATTAATTAATATACTGATATATTAATATAATATATTAATATAATATATTAATATAATATATTAATAATGAAAATATCGATAATAAATAATTAAATAAATAAATAATAAAATAAACGAATAAATGAAATAATAAAATAAGCCAAAACAAAATTCATAAATAATTAAATTATAATAAGTAATTAAATTATAAGAAATAATGAAAATAAAATAAATTCAATTACAATAAAATACAATAATTAAAATAAAATAATAAAGAAGTTACTAAAATAAATAAATAAAATTAAAATGATTATAATAAATAAATAAATAAATAAAAAATAATAAATAAATTATTAAATAAGATAAATAAATAATTGAAATAAAATCAATAAATAGTTACATCAATAGGTGAATAAATGGATAAATAGATAAATAGATAAATAAATGAATAGATAGATAAATAAATGCTTAAATACGTAAATGAATAAGGAGATAAATAAATAGGCATATCTATATATAAGTGAATGAAGGAATGGATAAATTAATAGATAAATAAATGGATAAAAAGATAAATCAATACACAAATGAATAAGGAGATAAATGAAAGGATAAATGCATAAATATACAAATAAATGAATGATTGACTAGATAAACAAACGAATGGAATAAGAAAGAAATGGGTCGATGACTCAATGGATTTTCCAATAAGTAAAACTAACGAATGAATGAATAAATAAATAACTAAATAAATAAACAAATAAGGGATTAAATGAGTGGATCAATGGATCGGGGGGAGGGGGCAGCAGGTACAGGGTCGGGGGGCTGGCGTCGGGAACTGGAGGATTTTGGGGTGAAAAATTGAAAAAAAATTAAAATAAATATTAAAATAATTAAAATTATTAAAATGATTGAAATAAAATTAAAATCAATGTTAAAATAATTAAAATAAATAAAATAATTAAAATAAAATTAAATTCAGTAATAAAATAATTAAAATAGTTGAAATAATTAAAATAATTGAAATAAAATTAAAATCAATATTAAAATAACTAAAATGATTAAAATACAATTAAAATCAATATTGAAATAATTAAAATAATTCAAATGATTAAAATAAAATTAAAATCAATATTAAAATAAAATTAAAATAAAATTAAAATCAATACTAAAATAAAATTAAAATAAATATTAAAATAATTAAAATAGATAAATTAAATTAAATAAAGTATAACTAAATTAGTAAATAAATAAATAAATAATAGAAATAAAATAAATAAATAATTACATAAATGAGTGAATAAATGGATAAATAGATAAATAAATACATAAATACATCAATTAATAAGGGGATTAATAACTGGAGATTACGGGTTAAAAAATGGAAAAAATCGGTAAATTAATGCGTAAACAGGTGAAGAAATGAATTAAGAGACAAATAAATAAATATAAAAATAAATGAAGGAATAAACGCATAAACATCCAAATAAAGGAATGGAGAAATTAATAAATGGATACATAAATAAATGAATGAATAAATAGATAAATAAATGAATGAATAAGTAGATAAACGAAGGAATAAATGCACAAATATACAAATAAATGAAGGATTGAATAGATAAATAAATGAATGAATAAGTAGATAAATGGATCGATGACTCAATGGATTTTCCAATAAGTAAAACTAACGAATGAATGAATAAATAAATAACTAAATAAATAAACAAATAAGGGATTAAATGAGTGGATCAATGGATCGGGGGGAGGGGGCAGCAGGTAGAGGGTCGGGGGGCTGGCGTCGGGAACTGCCGGGTTTTGGGGTGAAAAAATTGGAAAAAAAAATTAAAATAAATATTAAAATCAATATTAAAGTAATTAAAATAAAATAAATAAAATTAAAATAAATGTTAAAATAATTACAATAAAATAAATAAATAAAATTAAAATAAATATAAAAGTAATTAAAATAAAATAAATGAATAAAATTAAAAATAAATATTAAATTAATTAAA